CAATTGAGAGGCCAAACGAGAACGGCGTGCAATTTTCGAGTCCACAGAATTGTTAAAATTACTGTAATCATGTATTTGGTGTTGCTATGTCTTTGCCAAACTAATTACTTCATTAGATGTAGAAACCTGATAAGCTGCATACAAAGGAGGTGGTCTACATTTTTTCAAGAATCTAGACCCTATATACAACGTAATTTCGTAAGAATAGGAATTTCACTACATTCATAAGAATGCTAACGTCGGTAAAATGATTTGCCATCAAAACCACGAAAGTTGCCAAATTACATTACAAATTTAACCCAAATCCGATATTATAGTAAAGCGGATCGACCAATTCTCAGTTCTCGACATCTAATCTGGCCTCATGGATATCTAATTGTGGTCATGACACTGGAAGTATCGTTACAAATTACGTTAATATCTCTAACTACTTTCTCACGAAGGTCCAGATTGATTACAAAATTGTTGTCTTCTGGGTTGTTGCGCAATGTGTAGTCTGGAAGAAGTTTACCAACGTTTCAGAGGTCCCTGCTGCCTCCATCATCAGGGAGATAAAAGCGATGGAAAACTTCTACCAGACTAAACGGGGCAACAACCCAGAAGACATTTATCTGCTGGACCTTAAATTTATGGGGAGTACGAAAATTCCAAAAGCCTCGCCTTCTTACAAACTTTCAGAGATACACGTCAGATTACTACGAAGTTAATATTTCCGCCTGGCAGCAGATACATGGGCAAAATTACTCAAAGGCCTTCCTGTTATCGTGTAGGCCTACATAAAGGTTTTTAATTGGCATAGATAGAAGCTCACGGTTGGATTCTTCTGGTTATGTAAACTTCTTTCACAGACTCTTAAAGACAGAGTTTCTCGTTCTGTTCCCGCAAGGGGGGGAGGGGGGTGAGAGGATACCACCCATATCGAAAGTAGCGATTTTTTGTCTTATTATTATTTACTGGTAGGTTCGCCTGTCTGCAAGAACCATGTATTGTCATACAGCGAATGGCCGTAAGCGATGATGGAACTTCCAGCTACAATATACTGGACATTAATTCCTGAAACATTAACGAAGATTCAGCAAAGCCAGTTAGCTCGGCGATACCAAATGTGTCTCGTCCTGAGCAAGTTTCTCGGATTGAAGGAAATACTAGGCCCACCTAATAAACTTCTGCATTAATTTAAACGACTTCAGATTTCGACACTTGCGTACAAATTTCTACGAAAATATGACATTTACAGAATCATAATCTCACCCATCCTGTACACTTGCCAATGTGGAGCTGTGGAAGTCATAAAGCAACATGCCTCAGTCCCGTTACCAGACATTTCCGACTCTTAAAATCTTACGCAACGTCAGAACAGAGCATAAAACTGAATTTTGAATACAAAACGTCCGTTGTTACTTATAAAAGAACCGTCTAGTTCGTTATATTCACATATAAACTTGTTACACTTCCTCCTATGACAGCAAAAGGGAAAAAAATACACATAACCTTTTATCTTTCATTTTATTTATAAACAAGCCAGAAACTCGCGAATTCACAAACCAGAAAACTTCCTATAACTGTCTTTGTCAAACATCATAACCGTCTCTCAGATTTTTTTTTTAACTAAAATATGACGTTTTAAAATTATGTATTCATTCTCTAATAAGCCACGGGTAACCATGGGGCAACAATAGGTAGAAGTCCTTAATAGGTTATGCATTGTTGAGACCATTTACGTCTCCCATAAGCTTCTTGGCTCTAGTTTCACGAAATGATTAATTATATATCAGTGT